GAAAAAAAGGGGGGGGGGACAGTCTTAATCTATTCCAGATTAAGAGGCATAACCAAATGTACGCATGAACCTTGATTATGTCCTGGATGAGAAAAGTGTTAAGACATTTTGGAATAATAGGGGCAACTTATTCCATACAGATGATCATATTAGATATTACTGAATTATTGTCAGTCATCAGGTGTGGCAATGACATTGTGGTTTTATGCAGAATACCCTTATTCCAAGGCACTAAATACTTAAGTACACTCAGGGATGACCATCACAACTCCAGTCAAACAAATTAAATAGAAAAAGTGCATGTTGCAAAAGGTTTACACTGGTGACCCAGGGAAAGGTTATATACTCTTGTACTTCCCTTTCACTTTTTTCGTGTATGTAAAAAAGTGTTCAAATATAAAGACTTTTAAATTCTTAAAATTCAGTAAGCCATTAGCATGCATTCATCTTTTCTATAAACATGACATCTGAAAACACAAAATTGTAATCACCTGTGAATTAATATTTATAATGCTCTGACTTACATACGAATAACCATTGGGCTGGATTCCGGGAGCAATAATGGTGAGGAAAGAAATGGCCCTGCTTTCATGGAAACTACCTAGCATATAATTATTTGCTGGGTGGGGCAGCGGTTGTTCTGGAAGCCTTCCCTAACCCTAACCCTAAACTGAAAACCTGAAAAAAGGAGGTACTGCAAGAGGATCCAGAACGGGTCAGAAGTGTAAAGGCACTAAAGGAGGAGTCAGTCGATCTGGAGAGCAATAGGAATACTTACCCCACGTGTTTCCCAACCCCCGACCCTTTTTTACACATAGCCTTTCTCCTGGTTCCATTAACACTCCCCCCCCTCAAGTCTTCAGCCCTAGTAGTAATAACATGTACCTAAGTATTACTAGTCCCAGCGTTTCCAGTCTGGAAACTACACTTGACCTTGGGGTTTCCCTGGCCCCTGTGCACAGCCTTGTAAAGTACCCTTATTAAACTTCCCTCAAATTATCCAGTTTCAGTAAGCCATCTATTTCTGCCAGCACCCTGCTAGATGGCAAGCTCTGGAGGTAGACTTGGGAGACACCAGCACATTTTGGATGGTACTGGGACCGTGGGCATGGAGATGGTCCGGGAAGAGGGCTGAAGATGAACCCTGGGCCAGTGGACATCTGAAGTAGGAAAACCGGGAAACGGTAGTGTTACCAGCTGAGAATATTTCAAGAAAGGAACTATCAATGGGGTCGAGTGCTGTTGGATTTCCCCATGAGAAAGCCATGAGTGGTCCTTGGATCGGTGGGGGCAGAAACAACATTGGAATAGAGAGTAAAGGTGGTTGGAGGCAAAAGAAAGACAAAAACAAAAACACCTGTTAACCTTCAAAATGAAAGAACAAAAAGACGTAATTGTTCAAGTTCCTATTTTAACTCTACCAGGGACCTGTTACAAAATCTTAAGATTTTCGAACCTTTCATTTTTGAGAGTTAAATATAAACTTAAACAGCCACTTTTCCTTGCACTTACAAAAAAACAATACCTGCAGTGTTAAAGCTAACATAAGTCACAGAAGGGTGGAGCATGTAAGTTCTAAAACAGTATATTATACTCCCACCCACCCCACCCCCTTTCAGATCCTGAGAACAAGGGCAGGCTTTGCCAAAATCTTTTGTCTCCCTAAAGTGAAAGATTAAGCTCTTTTACACTGAAGCCTGCAACTAAGTATATCCAAGACCCCCCCCCCCCCCCCCCGCACACTACAATACGCAGTTTCTAACTAGGATGCAAGATATTTGAAACCTACGGCATTCTCACGATCACAATGAGTAACCAAACTCCACCACTACAGAAATTGTTAGAACCCTTAGATCCCTTTCTTTGAGAACATGAGCCTGTGAAATTATCTATCTCTGATCCAATGCAGCTTTCTCCTCCCTCCCCAGTTCACTGAACATCACACAGGAATGACTGCCAGAGCACAATGCTAAATCTGAGGCATCAGGAAACTGTTCTAGGGACACAGGCTCCCGGGTACCTTCCATTCTTCACTACAGAGTGAGCAGTTAGTTCTGGCTACCTTCATTTATTTTTAAACTCCCCAGTCATTTCACTAAACCTCCTGGAGACGATTTTTCTCCATAAAAACACAGTATATATTATGGACTTTCGACAGCAAAATTGAGAAACAAAATTTGATTCACTGATTTAGACGAAGTTCAACCTTTCTGCAAGCATGAAGCTTGCCCCTCATTTTCAGCCTTCAGAAGAGACCCAGGTAACCACCTCGCAATGCAGGGCGAGAAGGCACCCACCACCGACTGCTATAGCAGGGGCAGGCTCAGTCTGGAGAGCGAGGCTTTAGAAACAGGGAAGCCAATAAGTTACGTGACCTCCTTGCACATCCACTCGCTCATGAACACGGTTGCTTTCTTTTTCTTTTCCCTTTGCAAAGATTGTTTAAGCACTTTAAATATGCCTGATGCATAGCAGGTGTTTGATAATGGGGAAGCTTTTTCTTTTTACTTGCTACACAAGTGCTTGTACTATAGGCTTAAAAGGCCCAATTTCAAGTTATTCAGAAAAAAATGAGGTGTGGCAGACAAAACTCTAAGGCAAGGGTGTCAAACCCATTCTCACCGGGGGCCACATCAGCCTCATGGTTGCCTTCAAAGGGCTGAATGTAATTTCAACCCTCACCAGTTAAGGAGTAGTTACTAAAATTATTTCAGCCCTTTGAAGGCAACTGCAAGGCTGATGTGGCTCCCGGTGAAAATGAGTTTGGCAGCCCTGCTCTAAGGTGTCCCACGTGATACCCATACGGTACCTGTGTTCGCTGTGTAACTCTTTCCACTTGAATGTGGTCTGTACCTGAGATGATCCCACTAGCAGAATAGCTCTGGAGACCTGCTAGCTTGACTCGGTATAGGGCCATGTTGGAAGATAGCAGGTGTTAAGGAACTGAGGGCGCCCCCCACCCACTGAGAAGTCTGCACTCACCCTCGCTAGTGTGTCTCTGTGGAGCCAGACTCTGAGAAGTCTGGCTAACGCTGGCCTGTGAACTGAAAGGTCACTGGTTCCATTCCCTGATTGCCTGTCAGGGCACAGGCCTGGGTTGTGTGTGGGCCAAGTCCCCAGCTGAGAGTGTGCAACAGGTTAAGTTTCCCTATCACTTTGATGTTTTGTGTTCCCCCTTTCTCCCTCCCTCCCCTTCTAAAAAAATAAAATCTTTCAACATAAATAATAAAACGAAGAAGTCAGAGATCTCCACCCTTAAGCCACAGGAAATTAATTCCACAAACAACCTGAGTACGGAAGTGGATTTCTCCCAAGTCACCTGGTGAGAATGCAATCCAGATGACACCGTGTTGCAGCCTGTGAGTCACTAAGCAAAGGTCCCAGCTATGCTGAGTCTAGAAAGAAACACACATTTCCTTTAATCCACTAAATTTGTGATAATTTATTACACAGCAACAGATAATGTAGGTAGTCACCTTTCCACTATTCTAGGTTAATTTGGTAACGTCAAAGAAACTAAACCAATAGCTAGCAAAATTACCTAATTACCCTAAAGCAAATGTAAACCCTCACAGTAGTATAAAAAGTTCAGTCCACAGGATCCACATTTCCCAGCTAATCAACAATCTGTTTTTGCCCTGGCTGGGTAGCTCTGATGGTTAAAACATGGGCCCAATACACCAAGGTTTTGGGTTCAATCCCCAGTCAGGGCACATATAAGAATCAACCAATGGCCCTGGCTGGTGTGGCTCAGCGGATTGAGCATGGGCTTGCGAACCAGGGGACCTCGGTTCAGTTCCCTGTCGGGGCACATGCCTTGGTTGCAGGCCAGTTCCCAGCAGAGGACACATGAGACGCAACCATACACTGATGTTCTCTCCCTCTCTCCTTCCCTTCCCCTCTAAAGATAAATACATTTAAAATTAAAAAAAAATCAACCAATGAGTGAATAAAAAAGTGGAACAACACACAATGTTTCTCTCTCCCACCATCTCTCTAATATCAATAAATTTAAAAAATTTAAACCAAAACAATCTGGTTTTGAAACTCTGATATGGGTTGTAACTACTTGGATTCTTCATAATTCTGTGAAGGAAGTAAGTCTGTAAATTATTTTTCGTAAGTTTGGAAGCTCACAAAGGCCAAGTGACTCAAATACCTAATAAGGGGCAGAACCAGGAATTAGAGAACCCAGTTTTGATCCCAATGCCAAAATCCATCTTTCCCTGTAACCAATTTTTATAGTTTCTCTATTCTCAATGATGCTTTCCACTATGTTCACAGAAAATAAAGCCATACCAAAAACATTTAAAAATGGATGGATAAAGATGTGGTATATAAACACAATGGAATATAAAACAGCAATAAAAAAAAAAAGGATGAAATCTTGCCATTTGCAATAATGTGGATGGACCTAGAGGTTATTACGCTAAATGAGGTTAAGTCAGAAAAAAACAAGTATCATCTGGTTTGACTTATATGTGGAATCTAAACATCCAAGTGACCGACCAAACAAAACAAAAAGCTCAAATAGTAGACCTAAGGGATGGCTACCAGAGGGGAGAGGGTGGAGAGAGGGGTAAAAAAGGTGAAGGGGAATATAGTCGATAATATTGTGGTACATTTGCACAGTGACAGCTGTTTACTAGAACTAATGGGGTGATCAAATTGTAAGCTGTAAAAATGTACGCTATACTGTATACCTGGAAATAAAACAATTAATGTAATATTATATATGTATCAACTATACTTAAACAAAAAACCACTGGAAACATTTTGTTCTTAATTGTTAAAATAATCTTACCCACTAGGTTAACAATTATGTACAACAGTTAAAATGTGTTTTAAAGTCTTTATTTCTCAGTAAAGAGGACTTTTTTCCCTCATAGCTTATTATACTAAAGACCTTAAAGTCATATCTGTGAAGACCAAAAAAGTTACTACTTCTGACCTAAGAACACCTTTTGAACAAAGCCACACAACAACTTCTTTTATTTTCTAATAAGACTAAATTTATTCAATAACCTAGTAAAAGTTTTGATTATAACAGTATAAAAAGTACAAAACAGACTTGTAGATTTCTAATATATTAATACAAAGTGCATGACTACATACAGTACATCCTACAGGCAAAGAGAGGTGGAAGGGGAAAAAGAAGACTGTGGTTGAGGTCTAGTAATAAATAAATAAATACAGAAGTAGAGATGACCCATATTATAGTATATTCTACCACCAATACTGTAGCCAAAATGTACAAAAAAAAAAAGAAGAGGACCATTTCAAAATAACTCAGGAAGAAGATGATAATGGCTGAGACTCTTACAATACCCCTTACAGGCTGCGGGAGAGCCGCCCCAACTCACTGTGCTGTCTGTGCATACGGTAGCTTGTAGTTTCTTCCAAAAGGAATATAAAATTTTAAGTTTAGATTAAAACTATAAAACTACATGGTGCCTATAAAAAGTGGCTCACTCCTTTACTGTTACTTATACTATTCAATTTTTTAAATCCGGCTTTAAAAGTAAGCACTGAGTCATTTCATTCAAAGGCAGGCAACTGATCCCCTCTTGTCAGAGAAAGTGTGAACTGCTCATATGTCCCAGGAACTTTGAGAAAAGAGGCAATGAGAGTCCTTTGGTTTGGGTCCCAGTAGCAGGCTTTTAATTAAGATTTTAGAACTGAAGGACCTCATGTTCAGAATGTGCGCCTAACTTCTCAGTGTTGAGAAAGCTTGACTAAAAGAAGCCAAACCAAAACCAACCCACTTAGCATTTAACACACCTCTTTCTTGTATTAGAATTCTACTTTAACACAGTGAAAAAAAAACCCCCCAAGCCCTAATAGATTAGAACAAGTCAAACACTCTACACAGAAAAAACCTTCACAAAGGTCAACTGAAGTAATCCAGAGCTGAAACTGAATCGGATAAATTTGCAGTGAAGTCACCAGTCATGTAGTACAAACGAAAGTCAGTTATTTACACACTCGGCAAGCCCGCTGAGAAATGTGGCCCAAGAAGCATTAATTTTTGCTATTTTGATGCCATCCTAAAGGCACGCTCGTCTTATTCTTCCAATAATTTGACATTTTTAAGAGAGTGTGTTCTCTGTCATATGGTCAAGCTTTGGTACTACTCATGTGAGACTGCTCACCCTGAAGCCTTGCCATCTCCCCACAAGCTCTGATTCTGCTGTAAAGGTTTTGTATAAGTTAAAATCTTCAACAAATACCGACATGAGGGAGGTGACACAGGATACAACATATACAGTCCAGTTACCTCTTTGTATACTCAGAAAATTACTCCTTCAAGGTACGTGCAGAGAGCGAGTCTGTCCTGCTCAATATTCAGTAGTATAGGTTTGAATCATCAGAACCTTGGCCAGACCTTAACATTTCCAAATTATTAACAGCTCCCTCTAGGGGCAAGTCTAGGTTACTGAGTTATGACAAATTTATTATCACGAAGGAAACTAAGTGTAGTCAGCCATCTTTAAAAATGCCCCAACCACTGCTTCTCAATATAGAAAGACTAAGACTACAGACGTTTATCATACACCCAAATCCCACCTCAGTCCCCTGAAATTCCCCTAGTTTCATTCATTAGAAGGGGATCAAAAAGAAAAGACTTAAAGAGCACTTTACAGCAGCATTCAGCTTTCCTATGAAATACTCAGCATCTTAAATATTATGTACATGTCATTTTTTTCTCTTAGTTAGCTAGACACTGGCTTCATAGTATGTGGAAGTTGTAAAGATGAAGGAAAAACAACCCATTCAGAACTATTCTAGAAATTGTCTTTTGGCAGAATAGCAGGTATCCAAGTTAAACACAGGAGGGTCATTTTGTTGCTGTGGGGGTTTCTTGCCCCCCCTAAAAGGTAAATTGTTTTTGTTCCCCTTCTATGTGACCCTCAGTCACCACTCCTGAGTGGAGATGGGCAGGGGCTCTGGCCCCTGCTCCTCGGGCTTCTCGGCGGCCGCCTTCTTATTGCTGCAGCAAGGCTTAAACAGATGCGTGTCGATGAGGACTTCCCCAAAACGGCCTTTGTAGATAATCCCACAACACACTTTCTGTCTAAAAGGAAAAATGGAGAGAACAAAATGTATTCATAAGGCAGAAAAACAAGAACACAGAAAGAAAAAGAAATCTAGTCAACATAACAGCTAGCACAACTTGATCGAAAGGTCTACTTCCAGTCTCATCACATTCCAAATGAAAAAGGTTCCTAGAACAAACGATGGCCGGCCAGGTTAAGGGAGTGAGCCAGGTTCTCTTAAATCCCAGACTGAAATCTTACCAAACATTAAGGGGAAAGAAGACATTCTGAGACAGCAGTCAGTTTCAGAAGCTGCTGCCGAAGTTGTAAACTGTTTCCTCCAAAAATCACTAGCACTTGAACAAGAATAGCCACCATAAACAAGCTGATACAGCTGGTAGTTTGATTATAATCACTTAGTAGACATAAAATATGTAACATTAAAGCACACGAAAATGACAACACAAAACACCCATAAGCCATGTACTCTAAGGAAAGGGATCACTTCCTGTCAAGTCCCCCTGCACGCCTGTCTCCAGTCCCACTGCACACCACCTCATTCTTTCCTTCTCAGCTTTAGTTCTAGCACTCTTTTCTTTTTATACTTCACGGTTTTACCATGTGTGCATCTCTGAACACATTGCTTAGTTATAAAATCGGATATACGGGGTGGGGCAAAAGAAAAATAACAGAATAATTAATAAATAATAACACAAGAGTAAACTGCTTTGCAAACTCACAACTGGAAACCTACTTTTTACTCATCCCATCCGATCAGATTTTTTGCATAGTATTTATGGAATATAGAAATATGAAATCACACCATATGCTGCCATTTTTTGCTCGGCATTAACTGAGATTCATACATGTTGTTAGATAAAGTGTTATTTCATTGTAACTTAAGTACAGGATTCCACCATGGGAATATGCCACAATTTGTCCGTTCTCTGTTGATGGGACAATTTTGGGGTCTTACAAACACGCTATGCATATCAGTGCATGTATCTAAAGGTTTTTTCTAGGTTATGTTGTTGGGATACAGGAATGGGAACATGTTTGACGAAACCCGAAAATGGTAATTATTTTTTGATGTGAACGCCCTTCTATTCCTATTATACTATATAGATTTTATTTTAAACCTTGAAGGAATGTCCAAATTTATCAAACACCTTCAGTATACCACAAAGATGACAGGCATGTTTTCTCATGTAGAAACTGTTGGTACAGCAAATTATGTTAGTTGATTTTCTAATGTTTAAACCAAACTTCTATTCCTAGAATAAGTTCATCTGGTCAGGATATACTGTTTTGACATCACAGTTACATCAGCATCACAGGGCACATGGGGTCTATGCTACCTTCAAACTGCAGTCTGGAGAAGGCGGTATAAGATTAGAATCATTTGCTCTTGAAGCGTTTGATAGAACTTATCTATCTGAGCCTGGAAGTTTTTGAGGGAAGGCTTTTAACCACTGAATCAACTTTCTTATGAGACTAGTCAGGTTTTCTATTCTTGAGACAGTTTCAGTAAACTGTGTTTTTCTATTAATGTATGTATGCACTTCACATAAATGTACCAATTTACTGGCTGGCATGAAGTTGTTTATAATATCCTATCATTTTTAAAAATTTCGGTTTTAGCTATATAGCTAACCCCCCCTTTTCCTACCTAAACTATTTGTGTGTACCATCTCTTACTCTTGGTCTGCTTTATCTCTAGTAATTTTTCTAGTTGGGTTTTTTTAAGAACCAATACTTCGCTTTGCTGATCCTATCCACTACATATTGGTTTTCTACTCTATTTATTTCTACTTGTTATCTTTAGGATTTCCTTACTTTTATTTTTCCTTATATTGAGCTTCATTAACCTTTAAATTGGATATATTATCCCTTCATTTACTTTAGTCTTTCATTTATAAGCATTAGTCATCACTTTTCCTCTTTCTACCTCATTAATGTCATGCCACTGGTTTTTATTTGTATTTTTCAGTTATTTCTTTAGTTATGAAGATTTTCTAATTTATATTATAGTTTCTTCTTGGAACCATGGTTTTTTAAAACTTCAACTATATGTAGGTTTCCTACTGTTCTATGTTGCAATTATTAAATTACCTGCCCTTCCCTTCTGCTCTGGAGGCTTTGTACTTATTCTTATCAGTTCTTTTTTAGTGGTTACATAGTTAAACAAGTTCTAAAGCTATTCAATGTGTTTATTCTGAACAATACGAAAGACATTTATACACCTTAACTTCGATCACTTCTGTGACTTTAGCTTATATGCTACTGCTGTCATGTAATTCCTTTTTTAAAAAAAATCCCACAGCTACTCTCATTTTAAGCAATTGGTGTTTGTGTTAATTCACCTAAATATTTGCTACTTTATTTTTACTTCCCAGAATCTCAATCCGGGATCTCTTTTTTCTGCTTACTCTGCTGCAGAATGTTTATTATTGAGGGTCAACTTGGCAGCCACTCTCAATTTTTTTTGTAGTCAAAAAGTCTTATGTCAAAGCCCTGGCTGGGTGGCTCAGCTGGTTGGAGCATTGTCCCAAGATGGCAAGGTTGTGAGTTCGATCCCTGGTCAGGACATAAACATACAAGAACCAATCAATGAATGCATAAATAAGTAGAACAACAAATTGATGTTTCTCTCTCTCTCTCCACCCCCTCCTTCTCTTTCTAAAATGAACTAAAAATAAAAATAAACATCTTAGGTCCTCATTCACAAAAGATTTGGGGGGGGGTAGGTAGGGCAGGAGAGCAACAGGGGGAAAAATTGGGTCAACTGTAATTGAACAATAATAAAAAGATATTTTTGATATATATAGAATCCTAGGTGTGAGAGTTATTATCTCTTGGCCCATTGAGGAAAACAATCGATTGTTTCCTGGCTTCCTATATCCATGCAGAGAACTCAACCTTGTGTTTGTTGTTCCTTTGAAAATGATGTCTATATCTGCTCACAGTTGAAAGGTCAATTTGTCTTCCATGTTCTACAGTTTCACTATGATATATCTATAGGTAAATTTTCTTTTCTCATAGGACAACTGGCTATTTACTTTTGTTAGTCTTCCTGAATTTGTGAACTAGAAAATCCTTAACCATTTTCTCTTTGAATATTTTTCTCGTTTCTAATCTATTCTCTTTTTGGCTTACAGAGTCCCACATAGCATTACTTAGTATTGACCTCTGTTTATTCCTTATTAACTTGCCCGCTCAGCAATGTCATTTTTAATGAATTGAAAATACGTATTTCCAGCCATTTCACTTTTTTCAGGGAGTGAGTTGGTCAGAATGAATACCTCAGTGTAACTCAATTACAGAAAAGTTCGTATGGGAGGGAGGTGGGGAGCCCTGAGGGCGGGCTGGGATGGGAGTACAAGACAGAAAACTGTACTCGAACAATAATTAAAAATAATACATACATACATACATATACACGTAAATAAATAAATAAATAAATAAATAAATAAATAAATAAATAAATAAATAAATAAATAAAAAAGAAAAGCAGGAACTCTGAGGTTTAAAGAGCTAGTTTCCAACCCCGGAACAGCTCCGTCTCTTAAGAGTAGTGTGACCACAGTGTCTTGACCTGAAAAGGAGGAAGCTTTAAAAATAGCCATTTACTATCGCAATAGTAATATTGCAATTTCTTAATAAAGAAATTAATAAGCTCAAAAAAAAGTTCATTTCCCCAACAAGACTTTTATTTTAAATTAGTTTCAATAGGAAACACACAAAATCCCAACCCTCAGCTCAATTCCTGCTTAGCCCACCCCCAACCATATGTGTGCTAACAGCCATCTTGCCAAATGCCCTTTACTTGCTGAAGAAGCGGGAAACTGTTGCCTGTAATTAAGAAGGTTGGTTGGTTAGAAAGGTTTTTTCTATTGCTTTTACCTTTTCCAGTACGTGAGATCTAAGAAGGAGAACACGGGCGTTCTGTTAGAGCCCGAGGCCATCTCTGTGTCCGAGCCATCATCCGACTGGTTACTATAGCAAGGAGATTGAGCGGGGGAGGCACTTGAGGTGGTACTGTGAGCATCAGAATCTGCAGAAAGATAAGAAAAAAAATTATAATTTCACTATGTGCAATTGCAACTAAGCCTTGGCATAAAATACTGTGAATGAATTAGGAGAAAACTGGGGTGAAAATGGGAGGGAGGTGGGGAGGGCTGAGGGGGTGGGCTGAGATGGGAGTAAAAGACAGAAAACTGTACTTGAACAATTTAAAAAAAAAAAAAAGAATTAGCCCCCCAAAAAGTAAGCTTCCAAGAAGAGCAGACGTATTTTCCCCTATTCCTTCTGTTTTCATAATTACAACTAAAAGCCTTGACTATTACATGTAAAACAAACCTAAGACTCTGGAATTAAGCAACAGTTAGAAAGCTTGAGACCCAAGGAAGATCATAGTAGTGAGTTCTCTAGTTTTTTTTTTACCTCATGAATAGCCAACCCAGAAACATCTATGGATGCAGATATTAAAATCAAAACAAAAAAAGCCTGCTCTCTCTAGTCAAAGGCCCAGGAAAGAGGCAGGCTAGCAAGGCAGAAAAACGTTTATTAGACAATAACCACTCTACTCGGGCACATCAGAGAAAAAACAGACCCCAGCCTCACGCACCCCAGCAAAGGCCAAGTGGGAGGGGGGTCTGGGTTCCCATCCTCCTGGGAGTGTTATGAAGCCCCCAACACCTCCACCAGGGTGGTGTCAGAGGAACCCTATTGAAGAGTCAGGACTTCCACTATAACCCACCCAGGAATAGTCATCCTACCATGTGGGAGCCTTAATGCCACCTAGAAGCAATGCAGAGCTCCTCCCACCTCAGGTGTCAAAGTGGTGGAGAAATTGACTTGGACCACCACCAGGAAGGAGCAAGGTGGTGGTCCTTTTGGATACAACTCCCCCACATCTTATGCTGGAGGTGTGTCCAAAAAAAAAAAAAAAAAAAAAAAAACAGTTAAAACAGAAGGATTTACATAAGATCAAGAATCTCAAAACAAATCTAAGTGTCCAGGTTTTAATCAAAACATATCATATCCAATACCTGGAAGATCTCAAACTGAATGAAAAAGTAAGGCGATATTAACACCCAATGACAAAGCTGATAAAATTACCTGATGAAAACTTTAAAGTAGCTGTGACAAAAATGCTTTAACAAGCCATTGGGAACATACTAGAAATGAACAAAAATATGGCCTCAGCAAAGACGAGGTCTCAGTTAAAAAAAAAGAAGAAGCTATAAAGAAGAACCGAGTGGAACTGAAAATATACAATAAATGAAATAAAAAGCTCAGTGGATATATATGCTCAAAGGCAGAATGGGGAGGACAGAGGAAGCAATCAGTGAACTGGAAGAACAAACAAAAATCACCCAACCTGAACAACACAGAGAAAACAAACGAACGGAGCCCTAGAGACCTGTGGGACTCAACCCAAAAACCTGCATTCACGTCAGCGCGGTCCTGGAAGGAAAGGACAAAGAGGGCGGAGGTAAAGAAGCAATCAAAGACACGTGACTGAAAACTTGCCAAATTTGGCAGCAGACATCAACCTATAGATTCAAGAAGCTGAGCAAACCCCAAACAGGATATACCCAAAGAAATCAAAGCCAAGACATATAACTGACCTTCTGAAAACGAAAGACAAAGAAAAATGACATCTTACAACAGATCCCAATTTAATAACGAATAAAGGCAATTAATCAGATATAAATGAAATTATGCTTTAGTGTCCTTGCCCTCAGAAGACTTCACATAAATCCCCAAGGCAGAAAGCAACTGTCTTGGCTGACAGTCACGGTGCTGTAAGGCGTTCTGCTGCTGCTGCTCCACTGCAAGAGCCACGCCACACAGTCAGGGGCTGAGCCGACCACACGCCTTACCTCTAGCTAAAGACGGTCGCCCTCCCACAACTGGGGAGAGCAACCCCCCAATTCAGAGAACTAATCAAATATTCAGTAACTATCCACTAGACATCAAACCCTGTGTCATACCCTGCATGGAAAGACACCGACTAAAGAAAACATCCCTCAACACGGCTCACAAGTGTCTTGTGTTATCAAAAGTTTGCATAAAATAGCATAAAGTTAGGTATCTAAAACCAAGAAAAGCACCATTAGGGTTCTAACACAGTCATTCATTTCTAACATATGAATAGCTTACCTTCATAACAAAACAAAATCCTCAAGAACATCAGGCTTCAAGTTAAGAAGTCTGCTGAACTGCTCTCAAATAGTTAACAGCAGCACTGAGCTCTCGGCTGCTGAAGCAAACTCACTATCCTAGAAAGTACTTCATACCTATGAACCACTTGAGATTGCAGTTATTTGACCAATTTCTACCTATACAAATGATAATTTCCTAAGGTCTACTCTGGTATCTGAGATACCAGGATACAACTTAATTATATATAAACACAGTAAGAAAAACTCCCTTCTAGAATGTAGGTCTGGAAATTCTTCAAAGAACTGCAATTTTAAAATTCAAACAGGATTTGGAAAGGCACAAAGGAGTAATTACAACAGCATGGCATGGAGTAGGTAGGTGCAATGAACAGAACTGTGTTAGTAGAACACACTATGCACACAAAGACAACTAACAGCCCCAAATACTCTTCTAAGACAGAACTGCCAGACCCTGGCTGGGTGGCTCAGTAGGTTACAGTGTCATCCTGATACCAAAATTCCAGGTTTAGTCCTGGGTCTGATTCTTGCACATACAAGAATCCACCAGTGAATGCATAAATAAGTGTAACAGCAAACTGATGTTTTTCTTTCTCTCTCAAAAAGTCAGTAAATAAAAAACAAAATAAAGTAAGACCTAGAAAGACTTGCCAGGAATTTTCAACTTTATTCTACAGCAAACAGAAATCATTGCAGATTTTACAAAAAAAGATAAGGAAAAAAAAGCTAACATTTACACAGGAATTTGTTTCATTCTGTTTAAAAAAAGAAAAAGAAAAACCCTTCTACTTGATTATCCCTATTTCTCTGATTAGGAAATTGTTGCTAAATCAATGTTAGGTGACACCAGAGTCATATATTTGTGTCAAGAACTGTAACTCAAATCCCAATTTTCGAGCTCTCCATTCAATCTTATGGAAAGAATGTCTCAGGAAGAGGAATGCAGGTCAGGTACAGGCAGGACGCACGGAAGCAAATATATAACCAGAGGCAAGGAAACTATTTAGAGGGTGACGGATAAAAATTCAAGTATCTCAAAACTGTTTGGTAAACTGCACACAGGTGCTAGCAATTCACAATGCACCTGGGAAAACCCTGTTTAAGTCTTAACCCCCAAAACACACACACCTTGCCTTTTCAAAGAGACCTATTTTTCAGTCTCCAACTCCTCCACAACACAGTTTATCATAAAAATCTAAAATTACACTGGACATAGTCCCTAAGTAAGGAAAAAGTTAGTCACTTATGACCGTCCCTGTAGTTAAAGGGAGGAGCTAAGAATATATGTATGAATAATCAATTCTCTAACCTTCAAGAAAAGTACGATTTCCCAAATGTTTATTAAATCATCTAGTGAGAATGGAGAGTAGTTTTTCTTTTTTCCCCTTAGAGACAGATGGTAAATAAAGGAACATGTATCATTAAAACACACATATTTGCTGTTACCAAAATACTTTACTATAAATGTATTAAAATATTTTAGGCAGCCCTGGCTGGTGTGGCTCAGTGGATTGAGCACGGGACGGCAAACCAAAGGATCAAGGTTCAATTCCCAGTCAGGGCACATGCCAGGGTTGCAGGCCAGTTCCCAGCAGGGGATACACAAGAGGCAACCACACATTGATGTTTCTTTCTCTCCCTCTCTGCTTCCCTTCCCCTCTAAAAGATAAATAAATTTAAAAAATTAAAAAATACTTTAGTCAAAGATTAAGTACAGGGTGGAGCAAAAGTAGTTTGTAGTTGTTCCTATGGAAAACAATGACAATAATCCATAAATAATAGTACAAGAGGGCGAAACTATTTTGTGTATTCACACCTGACACCTACTTCCTCCCCACCCTGCACATCAGCAGAATCACTGGACTGATAACACCCACTTACTCGAGAGCACAGAGTGAGCAGCAGATCTGGAAACACTCGCATTTTGGGATATTGGTTACACTGCAGCAGACAACAGGATGGCGTAAAAGGAGCGCAAGGCTTGACAGTGAGACAAACAGGAGGTGAAGTTCATCTCTACCACTTACTAAGTGACCTGGGTGAAGGTTAAATCACCACTCTGTACTTGCGAGGCTAATCCCTAAACCAGAAATCATTGAGATAATTGTGTAGGTAAAGTACTGGGTAAATACAGCATAGTGCTCACGGGATGACAGTTATCCTCCTTCCTCAGTCTACCTGATCAGTAAATTTAACTGTCTTTTTCCATTGCTCCAAAACAAGCATTGATTAATATTTTATCTAACAGGGTCCTACAGATTTTTTTCAATCCTGAAAACCACAGTACAGATCATAACCCATAGCTACAATTCTGGAAAAGCTCTGACAACAGAAAAGTTTATTCCTAACCCAAGTGACCACAATATCTGGCTTGATCTGAACTATAATTAGGGAGCCAAACCAGACCAGCCCATTTACAGTTTATTTATTCCACTTCTATGAACACTATGTGAATACTTATTCCACCTATGTGAGTACATTTTCACTGCAGAAATACTAATGTGTTTGATAAAACAGCACTCCCTCAGACTTCCCCATCTGGGGGTTGGGGGAGGGGTGATACAAATGCTACATAATAACATTACATGTACTGCATTTCCTTTTCAAAATCTTATATCTGAATTCTCAAATACAAACCTACCACTACAGGTGCCCTACCCATAACTTCCTATAAGGGTTTATGAACCAGGTATTAATTTGTCATCCCATCACCCCTCACAACACACCCTGCCCCCTACACTGCAATCCATGGGTTATGATTTCTAAAGTTACTATCCTGGGGTTTGGTCTCAGACTGTCCACTAATTATTTATGTACCTTTCTGCACATGTCCAGGCCTCAATATCCTCATGTATAAAATATTGAGTAAACAAGATGGAAAAATGTATCTTCTAAGAAAATTAAGATGCCAATAAAGAGATCAAAGTGGTCTCAGCACAACTGGAAGCAGCAGCTTGCTAGTGAAAGAACTTTTATAAAAGCAAAATCAAGGACACTGTTGCACAATTTCATAGAAATGATATCTCTGCCAAGTTGGTGATCCCTTCCAACACTTTTTTGCCCCCAACACTCTTCTGTAATAAAAGAAAAAGTGATCCATACCTCGCATATGCCACCCCCAGGCAAAAATGAAAACAAAACAACTAATCTTAAGTATTCAGGTTTCAGTGGCAAACTTACTGTGACGTTTAAATTCCTTCTGCAGTTTGCTGATCTGGTTGCTTTTTATCCTGTTTCCAGATAGAGTTTTCACTTTCTTTGGTTTCAGCGTAGTCTTCAGACTGGGTCCTGCCCTTGCATCTACCACCTGGAAGAAAACACTGAATATTTAATACCGTTTAAAAAATGACACCTCTTTCTTTGGTTCATACAAATGCCTATTTGAAGTAGCCCAGTTTGAGAACCAGTTTTCTACAAGAGTATCTGAAAGGCCGCGTGCACTGTGTTTGTGATCATTATGTGGAATTAATATACGGTGTATCTCCAGCCACTACGCTGCACACCTGAAACTAACACAAAATAATACTGAATGAAAACTAATTAAAAAAATAAAAGAATAATTTATATAGTGGGGGTTTATTTGTCTTCTGTAGGGTTGGGTTTTTTGGTTGTTGTTTTGTTTTGTTTGAAGGAAGTAATAGCAGGAGTCTGCTGGACGAAAACTTTAAAGAGATTTATATACGGTAGGAATGACCCAAGTAGGTTAAGAAAAATCAAATCTAACAACACTTCTACAGAATGTTTTGCAGTTACTTTACAAAAAGCTTTCATATACTTTTGAATTGACTTTCACCACAAAACAGCAAGGGGGCTATTTTTGTCACTCCAATTTTAGGGTAAAGGAAAACAAGAGAAAATAAATTATTTACTTTGCCTTATTTGACTAAGCTAGTGAAATGGGCAGGGGTGCATGGGGAGGAGACGAGACGCAGATCAAGGTGCATGGACCTGTGCTTTAAGCTCTGTTCGCCACACGCTCCTCGCCCCCGAGGGCGGTTACAGGATGGCAGTGGCACGTTCCCCCGCAGTCCAGCATGCACACTGCCTCAGCCCCGTACAGTCCCATTTCTCATGCATTAATTCATAATCACTAGCTGCAGATTTCTACCCTTACACAGAAAGGTTGCCATTACCTTTGAAACCACAATTTTTTACCTTCTCCAGATAAGGTATTAAAAACTCGTTATTTATTTAATAAGTTAACAGATCCACAGAAACATAGGTATCATAATAATGTAAGTCACCAAAAGATAGTGTAAAGTATGAGGAAAAAGGTAAAGAATGACTGCCAGCTTAAAAACGAATATATAAATGTCAAAATCTTCTAAAAGCTAGCAAACAGAAGAATTAAGTAAGACTTAGTGTTGTTTTGGTACTCAAAAATATTTCATGAAGTATTCTAGTGACATTATAAAGTGAAAGGAAAGAACACATTTATATACCAGTTTGATCCCAACTAGAATTAAACATAGAGAATGATACTTTTCATCTAATTGAATCATTACTATGTTATATTTTGTCTTATTCAGTTCTCACAACACCTCCGAGACAGCAATTACCTTTACACTCTATAAATAAATGTAACTTGCCCAAAGTAGGTGATAAAGGCAGGATTCAAATCCAGTTCTGATTCAGAATTATCTGTTCATTAGCACCAACATGAGTTAGGGTAAACGTCATCTGAGAGATGAAAAAAGGATCCTCGTCTGACTAACTTTAGGAATTTCTGGGTTAAACCTAGAGCTGTGTGAAATGTGTATTTGTGAACCTCTGAAATGGGGATGTTGAAACCAGCCTCAGGGAGACACCATAATACACCAAGTTATTTTTTTTTCCAAACAGGGCAAAATGTAAAGTGATTATATCTGGGCAGCAACTGTTTTTCCTCTATTCTTTTCATCCTAGGGACATATTACTTCTTAAATTAGGGAGGAAACTACTGTTACTATAAATGGAACAGAGGTATAATTGGGAAAGAGGACAGATGCACTAACATGATTCCAGTTTTTTTTTGATCCCGCCGGCAATTTCTTCCATCTCTTCACAAGCAGGACACAGGCATTACAGATGTCTCCCGAACGCGTCTCATGCAACCTAGTAAGAAAACAATCAAGCCTTTATTGGTCTCCTTTACATTAAAGAATTCCAGCAAGTACACTCCTTTTAGAAAAAATTATACCCACGTGTAGTTTACAAACACTATTTCTAATCATTCCGGATGAGGCAGTTCCACTGTTTCTGTAGTACATGTCAGAAATATAATTAACTTCTAGATCCAATGAAACCAAAACTTTATAGACTGCAATTTGGTCATTTTAAAATAATGTTTTTAACATTTAACAAATAGTAAACTTCAGACCTAGAGAGGATCCTGGACACCGTGGTTTTAAACAACACTGTGCAATTAGTCTTTCTTGAATTTCACGAGCAACAAAGTGCCACCTTTAAGAATAACGTGCAGTGGTGTTCTCATTTCCCAACAAACAGAACCACAGGCACTGTAATTTTTAAAAAGTGATTTCATCTACGTACGGGGGGGAAACCTGTGAGACTAGTCCCCAAGCTGTTTGTAAATTACATCTGAGAAACTTTCATTTACTACATTTGTCCTGTGCTAAATACATCAGAAAATACTAATAATATTTATTATGTACGTGATTAGAAATAAAGGCAGTAAGAGGAAAACATCATTTATAAACACAAAGTCCAGGATTAACAATAAATAATCAACAAATATATTTTTTAAAGATTTTATTTATTTCTTTTTAGAGAGAGGGAAAGCGAAGGAGAGAAATATCAATGTGTGGTTGCCTCTCACACGCCCCCTATTGGAGACCTGGCCCACAACCCAGGCATGTGCCCTGACTGGGAATCAAACTGGCAACCCTTTGGTTCACAGGTCAGCACTCAATCCACTAAAAGCCACACCAGCTGGGGCTCAACAAATATTTTGATAAGAAAAACGAAGTAGTGAAATTAATTTCTAACGTGGTTCAACATTCAGTATTTTATTTTGCCCGTGGATTTGTTGGATAGTTAACTCTACTTCATTCAGCAAAGGAATGTTGTCAAAACATAACAAAGAACAAAAGTATAAAATAAATGCTAACATACCCTGAAAGGTTCCAGGGCAAAACACTGTCTTATTACTACCCTCAGCAGGTTGAGTTAAAATCCCAGAAAACTACTAGAGGATAACTATTATAAGACAGAATAAGGGTAATTTTTGTAAAAATCTCTTTACACACACTGAAGTTAACAGTAAAAGGGTTTGTTTGGTTACAACTTCAAAGGGTTTCACAATTAATTTGGTAGTTTCATATGTGAAAAAAGGTGGGATGTCAGTATCTTTGGTTGGCTTTAAGAGCAAGAGCCTTAAAAGAACCTAGATTAGAATGATAATCTAAGTGATATTTTAAATATTACCACACTGCTCTGATCACCTTAGTTGGGAATATTCCCACACAATGTGATCTTTTCCACTCTAGGAATTGCACAAACATCAGATGCTCTTACCCAAAACAGCTCTGGAAGTCCTTTTCGTAGCGTTTACTGTCAGTGAATCGAGAGCTGGAGGACTTAGCTCTGCAAATACAGCAGCCTTCTATACTTCGGTACATCTTTGGCTTGTGAAAACCAAACATCTTTTCTTCTGGGCAGTAGTCTGTAAAGCCAAGGGAATTGACACAGCTTTGTTGAGGGCTATTAACAAGAAACCATTAAGAGCCAGCGAGCTCTCTGCTATACCCCACCCCCATCAATTTGGTATTAGATGGCCAAGCCAGAGAGAGTGGCTCTCAGAGAAGACCCTCCAGGATCTTCCTCTACTCTTGGCACTAGCATAACAAGTGCACAGAACACACTGAATAGCTCAGATATTTCACAAAGCCTCTACTATCTCCTTCTACCTTCCTGGCAAACACTCATTCTAAAAACAGGGGACGGGAGGCAATTTAAAAAAATTAAGTTTTAAGTAGAAAATACAACAAACTCTCTCCACAATCCTATACAATGATGGAATCATACACAATGAACAACAGGCCTTAAAATTGAAGCTAAGGCACCATCCTTTATGCTGCACCTTTGCATTCATGTGATTCCCCTGTGGGGAAGTTTTGACCATTCACCATGATCACAACTCAATACTAAGCATACAAGCAACGCACCCACCCACACTACTTGTGCCCTATGGGAAATGAGAGGGGATTTCTTCTGTGATAAATGGGAAGTTCTAAGCTGGCAAGTAGGCCCTGAATTGAAACTACTGAGAGGAGGATGTAAAATTCACAAAAATCCAGGGTTAGAACTTAAGAATTTTAATGTCACAAGCTCGGGTTGCCTGACTACTTACTGGTCTGCCTCTCAGCTGTTACAGAAGTTTGGGGGGCTCTTTGATGAGATGCTGTGCCTGCTGAGAACAGTAGTCGTGGGAAGCGGACATTCGAGAAATGTAGAGCGAGGTAAACTGTGATTCCGATGATCAGAAAATCTGAACATCACGCAACGAAGGAGGAAACAGCTCTGGGGCTAGATGCAGCAAAAACTGCAGCTAGCAGTACATATGCACCTAGAATAACTTAAAATACACAAACCAACGGCCAGCTTTACAAGAACGTCTGGACCACGAGAGGTGATGAAAGACAATGAATATAGAAACGAAACCCCATGGACAAGTCCAGAGGGTGTGGGTGTGTGGATGAGACCAATCACAAAAGCATCACATGAAGTCCCACATAGTGAGAGAAAAAGTATTAATGCGAATTAATACGATCTGTGCCCATAGTTTTAGGACTTATCACCACAGAACACCATCCTCCTTTTCAAGTTCCTTCAGAAATACCCTGGAATATATGCCTAAAACAGAATCTTCAGTATTTCTCTTTGAATAATCTCCTGCCTGCCTCAACCCCAGTCCATTAATTCTGGTTCATGTACCAGACCAAATACTCATGAAGTGACTCAGAGAAATAACCAAATAGCCAGACTTTTTGTTTGTGCACATGTGTCAAATTGAGGGATTCTGAAATACAGAGGATATACAATTTGTCTTTCAGAAGGTATTTTCTTAGCAATTAATTACCTAAACACTGAAGCTTTCCTTCTAGACAGAGACTACTGGTCATCACATGTTCATTCACGGTTTTGCTGGTGAGGGAGATGGGTGGGGCAGAAGGCCAGGGAGGCATCCAATTAGTCTAAATAGTTACTTCAACTTAAGAATTGTTAAAACAAGAAAACAAAATATTCTTAGTTCATTGTTCTTCTTAAGTTAAATACTTGGGAATTTGATATTTGGGGGAGAAAAAAAAACAAGGAAGGTGCTGGATCTGTAGTAAAAAAAGGTATATAGTGAAGCCTGTGAAACAACGCGGATATTTTTCTTCAAACTAACAACAAACCTTCATGACAAATGAAAGAAAATGGCCTCCCGAGGAAAACATTTGTGTTGGTTGCTTTGAAACAATGTCAAATGACACAGGACCATAGAAACTTTTTAAAAAGAAGTGCTCAGAAGGTATAAGTTATTGCTTTACTTTGTGTCTTATATTCCTGTTTTGAAGCAAAAACGTAACATACCTCTTACTAGTCCTCACACCAACCCGTGGGCTCTCCAAAGTCCCTCAACATCTCTGTTACCATCAAGAAGGTTAAAAGTCCACAATTCCTCTTACAGTTGCCAGTTTCATCAATAGCCCTAGGAAACTTCAGCCTCTTTTCTCAGCAAGGACAAAGGAAGTACAGCAGAAAGGCCAGCTCATTCCATTAACACACAGACCAAATCCTATTACAAAAGACAGATTCCTATCGATACCCTCACAATCCCCACACCTCCCACAAGTAAACATGCCATCAAAACTGCCCGGCATTCAGATCATCTCCAAGATATGAATTTCCTTCACTGAGGTTGGACTGAACCAAGAAGCCATCGGCTGTGCCAGTTATCAGGCCTGCAAGCTGTTGTTAAGGAATGCAAGGGCTACCCAGCACTCTAGGCTGAGGCCATACTGAGGCTTTCCTTTTCATCAGCTGCTACTGTGAATCAAGTGTTCATTTCCAATTTCTGGGCGGGGAGAATCTCCACGAAACTTACCCAACAGTTCCCCCTGCAAGACAGTTCATTCTTCTGTTTGAAGAATATTTTTCTTAAGACATCAGGGAAACAAAAAACGGCTTGATGTCTTCTGACTGACGGTCCTTTTCGCAGCTCTGTGAGCTTATATCTGTCCTGACAAAATTCTTCTGCCCAAACCTCTGAGAGGGATCCAAATCCTAGGGCTCACCCCCTTCTAAGAAGCACTAAACACAGTAGTGTCACACAGGTGTCCTAATGCAACACACAAGCAGCACATGAGCCTCTTAAAGGATGATCATTTAATAAACCCAGTAAACCTTTTCTGCACTTATTTCTGTACTTGAGAGGCACCTGGAGATCTGCAGGAATACACAGGGGTTTCACTCTGGGCTTTGTTTACAGCAACCCCGTTAAACGGAGGTTGCTATTTAACCAGCATTGTGAGCTTTGGGGAGCCCAGAAATGAACTGAAAGAATTTTCACAAACTCTATAGACGCACCATTGCTTTCAAACAAATAACAAAAAAAACCTACCTGATCTCTGGAAGGAAACTAAAGACACAAAATGGCTGTGAAACCAAGTTACTTTGTATATTTAAAGAGAGAAAGAGAGTGAGCAAGAAGGTGGGCGTGGCACTTGATCACAAACTTGGTATTTCTGTTATTTCAACAAACCTGGGGTTCTTTAAAATACTCCTTTCCTCGTCCTGCGTTCGTGCAATGTTAAATGATTTCTCCAGCACCATCTACTTTATTTGTTCAAATGACACTGTCAGCATTAAAGTGTTTGTGACTTCTGCATCTTTCATCACATCACATCACTCGGCACCATCATGTTTTAAAAGAAGGACACTGACACTGTCTGCTTCCTACCTGATGAACGGACCCCGTACAATCTCACCTGTAGGGGTGAGCCTGGGGAAAGTGAGAGAAAATTAAGCTTTGAGACAAAGCCAAAAATAACAAAAGACTTAAAAAACGCTGATTAAACATTGTCATTTGTCTTCTAAACTTAAGACAGTGGTCACGGTTGTAAAACTGTAAATATACTAACAGCCACCAAATTGTACTATTATAGAGTAAATTTTATGGTATGTGAATTATATCTCAATAAGCTTGTTTTAAAAAATAAAAATAGGGGAGAGCAGAGACAGGTGAAGGAGGAATAAATGATGATGAAGGGAGACTTGACTTGGGTGGTGGACACAGAATACAGTGTACGGATGACGTGTTGTGGAATTGTGCACCTGAAACCCGTAAAATTTTGTAACTAGCGTCACTCTAAGCTCAACATAAATAAAGGAAGGAAGGAAGGAAGGAAGGAAGGAAGGAAGGAAGGAAGGAAGGAAGGAAGGAAGGAAGGAAGGAAGGAAGGAAGAAGGAAGACCAGGCTAGGAATTCTTCTCTCTTTATTCATCTTTGTAACCTCAACATCTAGAACAGTGCCAGTCGCTTAGCAGATACACTCAATACACTTTTTAAAGAAGCTGTCATTTGCAGAGCACTTCATGTTTCACTGACATTTCTTTGGCTACTGTCAGTCAAACAGCCACAAAAGTTTACAATACTGTAATAATTAAAGACAAATCAGCCACACTAAAATGACTGTTCTGTCTAATTTAGTTCACTCTTACAAAATTAAAAAGATTAAAGTTAATAGCTAAGTCAGCAAAAATCCTAAGAGAAATTAACTGATTATATGAACAAAGCATTACACAGACAACAAAAAGTGAATCTTTTAAATGTAACAATTAATTTGATTTAAGGTTCCTTCTACTTTAATGCTGTAATTTCATATAAGTCTAATGATCAACTTCATGGAATAATGGGGAATGCAACCTTAGTTGCCTTGGGACAAGGAAAAGGTGAGATAACCACTGTATATCAAAGATACAAAAGAGTCTATTTGAAACTAATCTATGAGATTATGAAGCCAAAGATCAGGATCAGTGTCCTATCTTACATTTAATCCAACACACAAAATGTCAGTTTACTGAGTACAATGTAGCATAAATGGGAAAGAAAAGGAATCTGCACGGCAATAGCTAATACTGAAGAGACAGCATTCAAGGAAAGTCTCATGATAAGTAATTCTAAGCTTTCAGATGATCTCTTGTAAATGTTCAGCCCTTTAAAAGAATGCAGTATATCTACGACATTTTCAGAGAACTAGCCAAAATATCTTTGTCTGGTGCAATAAGCAAGTTGAAGAATAGTTATACAGTACAATTCCATAGCAAGTTTTTAGAATGGGATCTCAAACAAACTGGCATTTTGAAACAGATTTTTAAAAACTAGTAACTAGTGGTGCAAGAATGAAGGGAGATTACTTTCACTTTACTCCTTCTATACTGTTGTTTTTTTTTTAAATTCAAGAGCACCATGCTCCCAAACCTTAAGTTACCATCGCACGACCTTGACAGAACTAAAGATGAATCTCAAAAAGCTTAAAGTTTCTCAGAGACCTACAGATGGAGATACACATTAGGAAATACATCCCACAGGAGAGAGTACAGAATACACTAGTAGGATCAGAACACATAGAGCAGAATGGGAAGGAAACTGCTGAGATGAGCAAAAGTTTTATAAAGTGGGAAGGAAACAGTAGTGAAAAAAAAAGAAAAAAAGACAAAAGGAACCAAGCAACCAAAGACAACTTTGGAGTGAAAGAGATTCATTTCTTTAGAGCTGATTCACTCCTTTAAATCACAAGGATGATGGGAAAGGAAGAGAAACGTGGGGGGGGGAAAGTCTGATCTAAAGCTATGAACAACCTTCAGTTGCTCTAATTGCCGATGCTACCCTCCACACCATTTTAGCCAATGGTATGCCACTTTTAATCACATATACATACAAGATCCAGTAAACGCTAACAGTGTAACTAGAGCAACACTCTTCACAAAGAGTCAAATAGGACCAAGTGTTCTTGTGTTCTCTGGCTGCTAGGCTGCTTGGTTGCGGTACTCCTCAACAGTGAGACTCGGCTGGTTCATCGGCACTTAAGGAAAACCATGGGCAATTCAACACTCTGTTCCCTTTTACCGGCTTCTGGACACCAGTCCACATCCCAGCATCAAAGGTTCTCAATTTGTTAAATCACTTTTGAGGGACAAATTTAAGCTTGCCTGGAGAAAAATTGAGAAAGAGGTGGTAGACCCCACTTGTTTCCAATAGCTTCTCCAAACATACACTTGGTCTTTGAGGAATTCTATGGTAAGAGTATTTATAACTGTAGCTGCCTATGGAATTCACACTTTGCAGAAAAGCCCAGAACTCATCCTAACAGTCAGGAAATGTAACTATTGTGAATCTGGTGAAAATAACAGGGTAATTACTTAAGTTGGAGTCTATTTCTGCTTTTGTCTTTATAACTGAAGGAAGTCACTTCTAATTGTATTGGCCTCTCTGTAATAGTAAGGTGAAGTCTCACTTCTAACGTTCCAAGGATGCTGTGAAACAAGAGTATGGAAATATCAGTTCTATGTGCACCATTTATTTTCTTGAATGCGAGACTTGCACACTACAGAAATACAAATGCTATCCCAGGACATGTGCAACAAATTAAACTTAAGGTAGAATCATGATTTCCAAAGGTCTTCTTTTAAGCCAAGGTCTATAGGAAAAGAGAAACAGCCTTTTCAGGGAGACTTAAGGTTATGGAACTGGACCATACTCCTTCCCGTGAAGCTGTTCTTCCATTATTAAGATCGACAAAAACATAAAGAAAGGGGGTATGGTAGTACCCGCCTAGCCTAAGCTCTCTGATCTTTCCATTCCTATACCCTTCTAAATAGTACCTGTAAAGCACCAACACTAGGACTGGTGGTCTTGTCCTTTGAATGTCCTGAATCGATTACATAACCTTGTCTTCCAGACATGCTCTTGCTGTGTCCACCCATGTTGGTTATGATCCATAGTTACACAAAAAGTCTGGAAGTCAATGGGACTCTCCCTTCTCATCCCGAGCAGGGTCCCCACCAAATCCACTATGAAGTCCTCGGAGATTCTGCTTCTCCCTGCACTTCTGTGATTTCACGTCCCTTCCCTTCCTGCCTGTTTGTCCCTCACCATGGTGCCTGAACTCCCAACAGGGTCTCATAACTGACCTCTGCATCCTTCAAACAGGTGGTATCTTCAAGTTCAAATATTAATCATCTCTTCCAAGGTACCAACACTGGCTTTGAGATAATATCTAAAACCCTTGGCAAGAAATTCAAAGCTTTGCAGGATCTGGTCCTGCCTTCCAGCTGCTCCCAACCTGGAATTCTGATATTCCAAGAGTGTCAAACCAACTTTAATAACTTTAGTAACACATCTCAGGCTGCTACTTCTGTCTGAGATGGTTTCTCCTCCATCCCCCTTAACCAGGGAAATTCTTGAAGAATTATTTCTTTTTACAAAACCTTTCCATTCCTTTACTCTAGCACCCAACACAGGATTTCACGTATTTAGTTAACTATGTTACCTCCTCTACGCAGTGGTAAACTGTAGCAGGGCAGGAACTAAGTCTTATGTTACAGCCAGTTGCTGACTGGACAGAAACAGGTGAAATTTGCTAATTACCCCTAGAGTGGCGCAGCCAAACCAGATCTGAACAATATATTTAAGAACATGGAATAAGAAAATGTGTCCGCAATAAAGATGTGTATTTAAAAACTGACATCTTGAAAAGTCATTTTTCTTCAACATTTAGTCTACAGACTTTTCGTGGGGAAAAAATTTGAGGCTTACAGATTTCTAGGAAATGTAAACTGAATCAATTACTTTACTTATGGAAGATGAATATTAAACAACTTAATGCTTTCATAACAACTGGTAAAAATATTTTTTGCTTACTTCAAACAGGCATATGGGGAGGAAGAGGAGGTTAAAGATAGCGGGAGAAATGAATCTCAAAATGAGAGCTATTTGAAGTCTGCATACGTTAGCATCAACCAAATTAAAACATTAAGCCACATCAAACTTGACAACTGAATACAAGTTAGCAATAAACTGTTTTAGTTCAACTGCAACTTTTGTACTTGAATGTGTAACAGTAAATGTGCCTGTGACTTCTGCGTTTCTGGGGCAAAAAAAAAAACAAAAAACCCCACACACACCCACCTCCCTCCCCAGAAAACAAACTCCCTTCTTTTGGACTAGACTCCAGATTATTTCCATAATACAGAAAACTTTAGCTGCAGTTTGAATCAGAGGAAAAACAACAGAACCAAAAGACAACAAATGTTCTCAATTTATAATCCCTAAGTCAAAACAAAGTGTGGGAAATCCAGGACACTTTTGTGGATAAGAGAAATCAGGAAGAACTAAAATGGCTTTTTCTAGATTCCCACAAAACTTTCTGATGTAAAATGGTGGATTCAGAACTGGCTAGGGAACCCAGAGCTGACTGCGGTGTCTTCACAGAACCAGTTACTAAAGGTGGGGGAGGGGCCAAAGACACTCATTCTTTCCACTGTATGTTTACTGAGTCCAGCAAGGTAACTGCCTGCACCCTCAGTCTTGTCTTCCGTAAAATTCTACTTCCCAAAGTTGTGACAGCAACAACAGCCAATGATCACCAAGCACATAACTTGCTTAATTATTTACAACCCTATGAACTAGGCATTATTGCTACTTTGTAGATGAGATACCACCACCACAAAGTGACTTATTTAGGGCAATCGGGGCTTTCGAATGGAGGCATTTTTAACCCCAGTCTTCTGAAGAACTAACCTAGTACTTCAACAAATGTGTTCCCTTCCTTCTTGGCCAATTATATTCCTAGCTTCTCTTAATGGAAAAAAAAAGTATTGTTAAAGCGACCTACTAGGTGTGTGACACAGTAAATTAGTATCCTCACAAGAGCTTAAGTTCATTTACATTTCAAAAAAAGCTTAAGCTGTCCCCAATGAAAAATTTATTTTACATTAAAAAAATCATTCTCAAATTGCTTTTCTGACACAAAACTGCCTGAATTTAAGCCCCATGAGCCAGCTTTTCCCAGGGTCTGATTCCGACTCTATCTAGAGAAAAAATGACCATCCAGGTTCCATATCTGCAGAATGAAGGGTACTGTACAACAATCCTGAACACACATGTGGCTCAGTGGCTGGGTGTCCTCCAGCAAAGCAAGATCTCGGGTTCCATTCCCAGCCAGGCCACATGCCTGGGTTGCTGGGCTCCTGTCGGACCACAGGTCAGGCAATCGATCGAGGTTTGTCTCTCACATGATGTTTCTCTCCCTCCCGCCCTCCCCCTCTCTAAAAAGAAATTTAAAAGTCCTAAAAAAACAACAACTGTGCAACAGCAGCCTTGAGGTTCTAGAACATACTACCAACTGAACTTTTAATCTCCAACCTCCTGCAAAATTAAGGCAAAGAGGGAAGGCAGCAGAGACGTGGTCTGAGTGACTTGCCCATTCAACTCGTTCACCTCAATACACCAAAATCTCCGCTGAGCGTATCATCTGATATTCAAACACCGTCTATTTACTAGTTTTATTATGGTCTATACAGCGTATTTGAAATATCAGGATATTGAAATTCTATCCAGACCCTGCTTATAAAATACTAATTAAGAAAAATAAACAAAGAATTTCACAGTGTATTTGCAAAGCACTTCATGTTAATTTTAAACACATGACCAAGAGAAATAACTGCCCAAAGGAAGTCATCAAGTTATTAAATGCAAAG